AACTTTTCATGCAGCTGAAGTATAGGGGAAATTGCTGACGTTACTTTTACATTATGCCTTGTTTAGCATAATAGCTAGATACAAAGTGACTCCGAACGCTCAAAGAGCTTGTGAAACTTAGCTTTGGGTGAAAAGAAATGGGTGTGAGTAAGAAGGAGCTAGTGGATGGCAAAGCACGGAAGAACCCATAAATTTTCAATGGAACTTTGTCATTGAGTTTTTAAAGCCGCATTACACAGAAAGTATTTTCAATGTATCACTGGCATGCTTTTTCAGTATTTGTAATTGATTTTTTAGTGGCTTGATAAGAAACTTAAGTAAGCTTACTTATACTAATGAGGCAAATACCAGGAGCAGGGCTCGAAAAAAAACTTGAATTCCAGCTTGCCCTCACGACAAGTAGCTCTAAAATGTGCTTGCCCCGGGCAAGTCTTAGTTTGCTCTTTTAATGATTTAGTTGACAGATAACTTGATTGATCTCCGTTGCCCATCGGACAAGTGAGATTGAAAATTTACTTGCCCAGTAGGAAAATCTGCTTGTCTGGGGAGGGCACTTTTTTCGAGCCCTGACTGGAGGGGGGGGGAGGTACTCCCAGAAAAGTTGGACGGGGGTGTGTGGCCCATTTCCCAAAACTCTTACCCTATTTATGACCAAAATCTTTGATTTTTGCTACCCTTGTTATGACCGTTGTGGCTGGCACGGTTGCCGTAAACATAAGTTATGAAGGGCTTCTGTTGATGGTCTTATTGATAATGATGAAAAAGTAGCTCCTTCTAAGAAACATACTGAATTCAAGACTAGAGTGCAAAAACCATACCCTATTTGTGACCAAAATTGCCAAAGTTGATGCCCTATTTATGACCAAATTGGGTGAAAAACCATACTCTTTGGGGCCGCACATACCTATATAGCTCATATAAGANACATACCTATGTAGCCCATATAAGAGAGTACCCCCCCCCCCGGGACATGTTCTGCCATGCTGTCTTGAATTTCACAGTACAGCATCTGCGAAGCAATTTTACAATACTGGGCCACTCCACAACTGTTTTGATTACTATTTCCTTTAATTTCCAGGCTGTCTTGTTTTTGAAGAGAACAATAAGACAACGTAAGTCCCATTGCCATGATTGTCTTCTTTACAAACCATGCAACTGTGACGACATGTTGCAGTTAATGTACTTTGATGTTCATCAATTTAATCAGGTGTCCTCCATGATGAACTGAAGACACGTCCCAAGGCTGT